ACAACACTTTCACAAAGTCAAATTGATACTCCAAAGTTCTGGCAAGTTCAGGGTCATGCCCAGGGGCATTATCCATGAGGAGAAGAGCCTTTAAAGGGAGTTTATTGGTGGTTAGGTAGCTCTTGACAGAAGGGCAAAACACCTCAACAGCCCATTCATTAAAGAGCTGTCTTGTCACCCATGCCTCACGGTTGGACTTCCAATAAACTCCAAGCTTTCCTCTTACCACTTTTTGTTGTTTGAACACCCTGGGGTTCTCAGAGTGGTAGACAAGCATAGGCTTCAGTCGGAAATCCCCTGAAGCATTGGCACCAAGCAATAGAGTGAGACGGTCTTTCATGGGTTTATACCCAGGTAAAGAGGCTTCATCTCTGGTGATGAATGTTCTTTTGGGCATCTTTTCCAAAACAGCCCAGTTTCGTCCACATTGAACACTTGCTGTTGAAGATAATTTTCTTCTTCCACCAGTTCTTTAAACTCCACTAAAAACTTTGCTGCCCCTTCCTTACCAGCACTAGCAGCCTCACCATGCCTAATAACACTGAAAATGTCACTTATTTTCTTAAATTTTTCGAACCAGCCTTTGTTGGCCCTAAAATCTTCAAATTCTGTTCCTGAAGAACCAGGTTGATCTGTCTTTAAATGTTCGTATATCTCCCTGGCACTTTCACAAATAAATTCAGTAGAAACTGAATCACCTTTCATCTGTTTTTCCCTTATCCAGATGAGAAGTAACCTCTCAGTTTCTGCAATTAGGGATCTACACTCTGGTAGATTTGTCTCTCACTTTCAATTCTTTAAATTTTTCTTTCTATGTAAGAATTGTCGACACAGTTGATGTCAAGATGCCATATTCTTTGCATAGCGCATTTTTTCTAATGCCTTCTTCATGTTTTTTATAACTTCCTGCTTAGTTTGGATTGAAATCGCTTTTCTTGATCTCTTAGGCCCCATGCTGGATTCAAACAATCTCAACACGTGATATTTTAAGTTTAAACTTGCTGTAAATAAAGAATATTTTCCTTAAAATAACACTGCACTGCACTATATATTGTCAATATGTAAAATAAATTTCAAAATGACCAATAATTTGCTTGGAAACACAGAAAAAAAAGCATTTAGTTGAAGATTGTCTCAAGCAAGATGTTACCTCCACTGAAAAGACAGAGATTAATGCTTGTTTGGTGTGTTGACAGGCTGGATGGCGTGCATAAAACTATTTTCATTACCTTCAATTATGTTCAATAATTGTTAAAATGACTAAAAAATTTAATATTAAACTTTTAAAATTATTGAATAGTATAAACTTCTTGATATTTACTAAAATAGTAAGGAATTTAAGCCCTAGAACCGATTACTGTATTGGCGGACTAATACTGCAGCTGGTTGACCGCCAAGTGCAAGCGAAAACATGTTCAGGTCGGCTCGTAAGAAACTCATTAATCGAGGGATTGTGCGTTTGCCGAAGTTAAGAATCTTATGGAAGGTAATTTGTTAACCGAAATCTCATTAACCGAGGTGCTCGTTAACCGAGGGATCATTGTACTGTATTGGCGGACTAATATTCCAGCTGGTGAGCAAGCGAAAACATGTTGACATGATTTCCTAAAAATTTCGTTAACCGAATTTTTGTTTGTTAACCGAATTGAAGATTCTTATGGAAGGTAATTCGTTAACCGAAATTTCATTAACCAAGGCGTTCATTAACCGAGGGATCATTGTATTTATCAACATCCTCCCACCAACAGTACAGTGCAAAGACTGATGATGATCAACCATCAACTGATATACAAAAATGATAATTTCAATTCAAAATAGAGAAACAACTGTTAAGAGTGACAATCGTGCTTGGTGGTCTATATTGACCTGACCCTTGACGTGACGCACCCAGCCCGCGGCTTACTTGCCACCACCAACACTGGACGAGAAGCCAAGAAATACTCCAAACTATATCAGGAGAGAAATGAGGACTCCCTACTCCACCCAGGTGAGGCATTATGAATTCTTAACTACATCACACGAGGAACAAGAACCATCTCCAACACCCTGTGTGAGCTGGAGGACCTACCCAGACTTCTTGGTGCATCTGCAGCTTTAGTGAGGTAGCGGCTTAACAGTCAAATACAACAGCCATCAAGACAGTGGAAAGGACTTTGTTAGCGCCTACATCAGTTCACAAGAATGTCGACAAGACCAGCTCCCAGAGTACCAGCTCTATAGTTGATCTATATGTTGACAGTAGGCTTCTTACATTTTTGTATTGAAGCTTTTGTCAATCAAGTGACCCACTCCCTGATTTCACCATATGTGATTTATCATCTGTGTTCAGTGAATATTTCAGCCTTCGGGCTTGAATTACATTTTTCTACCTATGAGATATATACAGTTCAGACAAAATTCCTGAACACTTGGCAATATCTGGCATCTTCTTCTGGGTCGTATATATATGATTAGTTTATATCTAATAACGCTGCTTTTCATCACATATTATGGCGGAACCACAAAAGGGAAAAAATCCTTAACACAGATAAAATTCCAATCCCCTTCACCTAATGATCATCAAGTATGTACCTATATATGCAGACACTGCCAAGTGTCCAGGGAATGTTGTTGCAGCTGTACATAGTACTGTACTATAGTTTACTTCATAATAGGGTACAGTTGTTAATGAACACATATTATTACAGTAACGTATGTGTATAATTAACTCCTACGCCCCGTGCTAGGGTGGCAATTGACTGTACCCCCCATGTGGGGTAAAACGGAGAAAGTAAATTTTTCCCCAAATAAATTTTAACCTTTATAAATGATAAAACAATGAAAAAAATGTAAGAAAAACAATACAGTATATTGTCCCTCAGTGACAAGTGAAATAAGGAGAAAGGTGGTTTTTCTTACAGGGAGCATCTCGCAGTCACTATGCATTGGGGTCCTTTTCACGTTTCCTTTGTGTCTGAGATGGCCAAAAATACATATTTGTACTGATGAAAATACTTATTTCCTATAAATAATTCATTTAGAATTTATTTTACTTGCATTACTTTTCATAAAGACTGTTCGGCGACACACACCCAGTCTGTCACCAGACTGTCTGGTTGTCTTTGTGTTTGGTAGAGCAAGTAAGTCATAAATAATTATCGGAATAATAATTCCACAAATAAATACATTCATAACATAATCATACCATTATAATCTCGTAATACTACAATACAATACAACTACACTACTACATGATAAAAAGTACAAACATTGGTAAATAAACAAAGAAAAGATGGTACTTACCAAGAAGCTTTCCTCCGACCGTGCGTAGGAGGTGAGGTGGTGGTGATAGGTGGTGTTGGTGCCACCCTGACGCCTAGCTAGCTGTCTGTTAGTGCCCGAGTAAATGCATACAACTGTGTACCTTTTCCACAAATATGTCACTTTGTTCCTTATAAATACACTTATCCTACTATTTACACTATTTACAAGCACGTGTCACATTGTTTTAGAATGTTTTCTTTGAATGGTACTCCACGAAGCAAGGTGGACAGAGACCAACGTCACACTCTTTCCACCACGTCGTCACGTCCTTATGCTTAGCTGCGCACTTTGTGGTGTCAGCACAGACGTAACACCGCCTTTGCCCCTTACGACCACCTGGACATCCTTGACCACCGAAGAGTCAAGACGTACCTGGCGCTCCTCTCGGAGCAGCCAGGTCAACTGTTAAGTTGGCCCATACCAACCCCCTCCCTTGAACCCTCCTCCCCACCGGAATATCAACAAGTTCTCGCCAGAAGTTACAATTTCATTTAGGAAAGGAATGGAACCAGTGTTAAACAGAGGTGAACAGTGGTGAACAGTGCTTAAGTCAGTGAGAACAACTCAACAGTAACAGTCGTACCCAAGTTAACCTTCACACAGTGAGGTCCCAGGTACCCAGTGATAACTGCCCGTGAGACCCAACAACAACCAGGGATGTGTTAATCCGTCTACGATAGGAAGGACTAAGACCAAACCTCACTCATATAACACCATCTGTGAGGGAATTACTACACCACATGTCCCTCATAACACCATATGTGAGGGAATTACTACACCACATGTCCCTCATAACACCATATGTGAGGGAATTACTACACCACGTGAGGCCCCTCATAACACCATCTGTGAGGGAATTACTACACCACGTGATGCCCCTCATAACACCATCTGTGAGGTAATTACTACACCACGTGAGGTCCCTCATAACACCATCTGCGAGGGAATTACTACACCACGCCAGGTCCCTCATAACACCATCTGAGGGAACTACTACACCACGTGAGTTCCTCCTAACACCATCTGGGAGGGAGTTACTACACTACGAGTTTGCTGTTCAACACCTACATTAATCTGTATGTTCACTGAATGTTCCTTTACCTTTCTCTAATGAAGGCTTTTGTTAAACCACCAATGTATGTAATAAGTCATTTATGTCCAATGTATATTTTCAGCCTTCGGGCTGCAGAATTTTCTCAATAAACCATTAATTATTATTATTATTAACCCAGTCACATGCAAGCAGTCTGTCAGGTAGGCCTGCTTGGCTGTTTTGTCGTGGTACAGCTGCCACGATGGTGCCATATTTCTCCAGGAGTTGCATTATCAATTGCTTCTGAAAAACCCTGAGAGAGGGTTTTTCCCGATTTTTACTAGGTGCAAGTTGTATGCATTCAGGATGGTGATGTCCAAGAGGTGTAGGAACATCTTCTTGTACCACTTGAGATATTTGCTTACACACTCAATTGTGCCAACCTGCATGTCACTCTTATCCACGAGGCGCCTGTTGACATTGTAGTCCCCGACAGCGTCAGATTTTTTCATGACCTCTCCTGACGTTATGTCCCTTTTTCCACTGTAAACCATTTCACCCTTATGCACGGTTGACAACATCTGTACAGAACTCTTATCTTGCCAGCGTATTGCAAGCATCTTTTCTGCTTGCTTCAGCTGGATCTCTCCTCATGCAGGCTTACCAGTAAGCACAGACCAGTGTTTCCTGTTCCTACGTACAGTCCCACAAGAACAGGTGTCATGTTCAACTAGGAACTTGGCCAGGGCAGGAGAGGTATAATAATTGTCTGTGTAGAGGACGTGATTCCCTCTAAAGTAACGGTCCATAGGTTTCTTGACAACAGCGCCGGAGCAACCATGTGGGTCGTCCTTGGGTATGTCTACGTCACTTGCTGTGTAAACAACGAGATCTAAGACATACCCAGTATCGCAGTCACACAGCACAAAGAACTTGATCCCAAAGCGATGTCGTTTGGAGGGAATGTATTGTCTAAAAACAACATGTCCTCTGAAAAGCGCCAGAGACTCGTCCACCACTACGTTTTGAAAGGGTCTGAAGAACTTCATAAACCGCTCCTTCAGCAAAGTAAAAACTTCTTTTATTTTCCATAGTCTGTCACCAGCCACAGGAATGTTGTTATCTATGAAGTGTAGATAATGTAGGATGGAGACAAACCGGTCTCTGGACATGAATTTTTCAAACAATGGAGTTGTTGTGATGTCACCAGGAGATATCCAGTACTCCTGAAGTACTGTGCATGTTTTCTCGCATGTGCCATCAGCATCAGTAATGCAAAAAAACACAAACAGTTCGGAAACACCAACATCACTCCATCGACACACGTGCGGCGAGGGGCCAGAGCTGGGGTCAACATCACACGTTTACTGATTAAATTTATTTGTCTCGTCACACAGTAAGTCCATGATTGCACCATCAAAGAACACACAAAAATAGTCCATCTCACGTGATTCCTCTGTACAAGGAAAATCAGGAGTAATTCCACCTAATGATCGTTTGAAATCAGGGATATCAGGCTGAAAATTACTGCCATCAGACCAATCAAAGGCATCCATTGTCCCTTGACTGGATCGTGAAATCAGGGATATCAGGCTGAAAATTGCTGCCATCAGACCAATCAAAGGCATCCATTGTCCCTTGTCTGGATCGTGAGCACGTGGCGGGGATACGCCGATCTGGCTGGGCCTCACTGCCCGTGTCCTCCTCTTCATCACTGGTTGACACAACATCGTCCAACTCGATGCTATCCTCTTGGTCACCAGGCTGATAATCACTGCCTTCATCACCACTTTCACCAGAATCAACCAATACAGCACTCAAATGAAATAGTTCTGTCCTTATTTCACAATCATCCAACCGGTGATGACGCTTGTTTGGGGTGGAAGATGCGGGGTGGGGGAGACACGAGAAGTTGATGGTTACTGACCGCCGTAGGCCTACCCACACCCCCCCTCCTTGTTCCAGAGAGAAAAATAGTCATGCTGGTACCTGATAATTATTGGAATAATAATTCCACAAGTAAATAAATTTATAACAAAACCATAGCATTATGATCAGGTAATACTAAACTAAAATAAAACTACACTAATTTTAGTCATATTACTTTGATAAAACATGATAAAAAGGACAAACAATGAAAAATAAGCAAACAAAAGAAGGTAATTACGTTCTGGAAGCTTCCTTGTGGCCGAGATGTGGCGTGACAGGCAAATACAGGTGCTCCTCTACTTAACGTTCAACTTACAAACTTTCAGAGATACAAACATCATCACTGAGAGGGGGTTACCTGCCAGAATAGGTGTTTATTGCGGATGGACTGGATTATTTTGAAGAAAATTCCAGATAAAACAAACATTGCCTAAGAGGAGAAGAGTGAGCCAGGCTTTAAGGCTGTATTAAAGGGTATAGCTGTACTAAAATATCCATAATCTTTTCATTTTTTACAATATATTTGGTATATACAAGAGTAAAGTTGACTTACAAACAATTGGACTTCCAAACAAGCCTCAGGAACGTAACTCGTTCATAAGTAGAGGAACACCTGCAGTCACAAGGGAACCTGATAACTGGCATTGGGCATTTAAACAATGGCGGGAAAAGGCGCGCGTTCTGGAACATCACCCAGGGCCTAAGGGTTAATGAAAAACAAACAATATTGTATCATGAATGCATCAGTACAGTAGACACAGTGAGACGACCCTTTGAGAGGGGTGTCACGGTCACATTTACCCCCAATGGACCCTTCCCTGTGGCTGGAAGGAGGGCGGGAGGTGGGTTGTCGACAGCAAGGAGGGGAGATTAACGTATACTCAAGGATTATGAAAGGCAAAGGGTTTTATTTTTTATGCTAGAAGTGTAATGAAGGATTTTAAAGTAGGAAGTATAGAGAGAATATTTAGTAAGAGAGTAAAAGAGAGGAAGAATTTGGTAGCGTGGCCATGTTAGATATTTACTCTGTCAATACACTTATCTTATATGTCAACACACATCTATTACGTTCTTAAGGACGACTTCTCAAACACCGCTTCGTTACAACGTTACAACTATTTATTAATTACGACAATGGCATGGACACATTAATAACACCTTCTATTGAAGTTACTAGGACATTATATTTACGTTACTAGGACATCATATTACGTTACTAGACACTGATTCTCGGATACAACATGAAATGAATACATTTCCCACATAAGTAACTCATCCCATGGATAGCTCTGACAAAAACTCATGTGATCTGGGGGAGGCCTAGCAGGTGGTCCTGGGTTGTCTCTATGGGAGACTGCTTAGCTGGGCGCCGGTGTGTCGGGAGGGAAATCTCGCTCCCGACCGGAGGAGGGGAGGGCTTGCCTCCAGCTCTCTCTGTCTGACTGCCTCGACTCTGCTCCATCGACTCTCTCTCTGACTCCCCTGAGGGAGGGCTATGACGTCCTATATATTGGGAGACGAGCCGTCAGGTTGAGCTGATCAGGGGTGGGGGGAAGGGTCTTCTTACATTTGACCTCGCTAATGTAGGGTCAGGTCTGGACTTTTTCTGAGAATAAAGTTGTTGTATATATTGGAGGCAGGTGGCTTCTTCTGACTGGGTGTCTCTTACATATTTGTTGGGGCCGTGTGACAAGGGAGGGGTGCTGGTTGATTTGTAACTCCCCTTGAGCGGCCATGAGGGGTACCCTTACACTTGACCCCCCTAATGTCGGGTCAGGTCTGGATGTAAGCTGTGGTCTGACAACCCATCACTACACCTCCTGCCAAGACCAAAACTTTCATGCTCAGAGAACTGATGACACATATAAGTAGACAGTAACATCATGTGCAGTATCTAATATAGTCCCTGAGGCAATAATGCATCCTCACATTTTACAAACAATAACCATAGAGATGTATGCTTTTCTACTGGCATAGTTTGATCTGACAAAGCTTACTATACCTCCCGCAAAGATTAAAGCTTGTATGCCAGGAGAAAAAAAATAAAACATTTACACAGTAAGTGAACATAGAGTGAGGTAAAGATCCTCCACATCTAGCATAGTGTCCGAGGCAAACTTGCAAATCACATTCTACAAACAATAACAGGTGTTACATTGCCTAACCAGGCCGTGTCAAAATAATAATTCGTCCCACTCAGTAGTATGTCTACAACCTTGCGTTTGGTAATACAAAACATTGATCAAATGAACTCATTTTTTGTAGTACAAGTTAACAAAAATCAGAGAATGAAATACTTCAAAATACACAAAAAATACTCATACTTCACATGTTAGGGTATTATATCTTTTTATTGTACATCAATAACATCAACAACATCAGTACATTAGTGTGGTCCAGCATGGCTCACGTCCTCCGTCCAGCTGGTATCGAAGATAGGGGATGCCGGCAGCACAACAGCGGTAGGCGGTTGGTCCTTCTGATGATCCACCTCTTCATCTTCGACTTTCTTCTGATGTCAGCACAGCATGTCTTCTGTCTTCTTTCTTCACATAGCACGTTTTTCTTTCTTCAATACCGCACCTTGTAGGTCGTGTCACTACACCTTCTGACTTCTTCTCACTTCCTCCTGGTTTCTATCATATTCCAGATGATTTTTCTGTTCATCTGCGCTTCCTCTACGTTAAGAGCATTTTCCAACATATTCCAGATGAGTTTTTCTAGTTCCATTTCCTTATTCCAAATGATGTTTCTGTTCATGTGTGTTTCTTTATACATCTTCATTTTCATATTCAAAACGATTTTTCTGTTCCATCTGCCTTTCTTCTCTGCAACTTATCTTTCCGCCAGTCCGGCCGGGGGTAGCCGGTCACACTGGGGGGGATGCCATCGCTCAGGACGACGTGTGGGGCAGTCTCTGTAGTCCTGGTTTCGCCCTCTGTACACGAGTATCGGCTGGATCCTTGACCGTCCTGTCCCATGCCCCCACAGCGGAAATCCCCTCCCTGGTTTGGCTTGCCAGGGTTTTGATGTGTGGCGCTGCATTCCACACTCCTTAACTTCCTAAAGTAGAAAAATATAAAATCTTCTTAATCCTAGACCAGGGAGGACTTGAAAGAAGTGGAGTGGTGTGTGGTGGGTGTGGTGCTGCATTCATCACGCTGCTTCTCCTCTGCTTTATGTGCTGTGGTTGTATTCCGGCTAGCCATGGGGCGGTACTGTGTGTGACATTTTACAGAAACAATCCGAAAGGGATGATGGATTAGTTGGAAGTGTATCCGTAAAGAAAAATATTTACTTTATACGTTACGTTAATGTTTGGCAACTATGGTTTCCGTCACGACAATATTCTCATTAGGCTGGGTCGGGGAGTGAAGCTCTGCTCACTACACTGAATATTATTAATCACTACGCGTCAAAGAGTACATTACAAATCATACTAGCATAAAAACACACTGAGTGAAGCTCTGCAATTATCGCAATATTAAGTGACACTAACCATCAATTTCGAAGCATAACTCACTGGATAAAACATACGGGGGATTGGTGGTGACACAGGGCGAGGTGGGGCGAAAAATACGCGGGCATATGCGCGCTTGGTGGGGTGGGGTGGGGTGAGGTGTAGCGTGGCGTAACCGGGGCGGGGCGGGAACGGACGGGTACGGAAGGTGAGGTGAGGATTAGGACAGGGAGGAGGATATAGGTTGTAAGACATGTTAGGTTATAACAGTTAGTATAGACACAGCTTCTATCACTAAAACACAATGGGTACATTTAACACCGACCGACAATTAAAATGCACTTGGGATACTGAGAACTTTACAGAAAGCGGGGGACACTGAGAAATCATATTAAGCACTGAACATATTCTGGGAGTGTTTTGCTAGTAACAATTCGCGTATATCACGACGAGAGACATTGACTTGAGTTGAAAAGATGACGCACTAGGACACTTTTCACGCTACAACACAGGAATTCCTTATTTCACACTTTTAAACAATACTCAAACTGAATTAAATGAAGGATGAGACGAGCCAGGTGTTATGGCTAACCTAGGGAAGGCGTGAGTTTACGTTAAGTTCACTGCCACCATTGTAATGCCCAAGCGAGGAGGGAGTGGGTTAACGTATAGTTTGCTGTCACCTATAATGACTAAGCGAGGAGGGCGTGGGTTTACGTATAGTTCACTGCCACCATTGTAATGAAGGGTTTTAAAGTAGGAAGTATAGAGAGAATATTTAGTAAGAGAGTAAAAGAGAGGAAGAATTTGGTAGCGTGGCCATGTTAGTTATTTACTCTGTCAATACACTTATCTTATACTTCAACACACATCTATTACGTTCTTAAGGACGACTTCTCAAACACGGCTTCGTTACAACTATTCATTAATTACGACAATGGCATGAACACATTAATAACACCTTCTATCGAAGTTACTAGGACATTATATTTACGTTACTTGGACATCATATTACGTTACTAGACACTGATTCTCGGATACAACATGAAATGAATATACTTCCCACGCAAGTAATTTATCCCATGGATAGCTCTGACAAAAACTCATGTGACCAGGGGGAGGCCTAGCAGGTGGTCCTGGGTTGTCTCTATGGGAAACTGCTTAGCTGGGCACCGGTGTGTCAGGAGGGAAATCTCGCTCCCGCCCGGAGGAGGGGAGGGCTTTCCTCCTGCTCTCTCTGTCTGACTGCCTCGACTCTGCTCCGTCGACTCTCTCTCTGACTCCCCTGAGGGAGGGCTATGACGTCCTATATATTGGGAGATGAGCCATCAGGGGGGCGGCGAAGGGTCTCCTTACATTTGACCTCGCTAATGTAGGGTCAGGTCTGGACTTTTTCTGAG